TCTTGACCTCCCTCCCACAGACAGACAGCTGCCAGGACAGCCTTCCTCTTCACAGGCTATGTGGCCTCTCAGCTCGGAGTCCTTTGAGGAGCCGCTCCTGGACTTCAGCCCTCTTTTAAATGCCTACCCTGAACAGTTTGGCCTTTCCTTCTCTCGCCACTTGAGATCTTTGCCAACCTTGTTCTTAATGTTCCCACGTTACCTTTTCTTATTTCTGCCCCTACTGATTTGACTCTGCGTCCATCTGAATGCCTATCAAATAAAAAAAATCTCCGTCAATAATTCCTTGCTGAGCATGTGTAAAACCACATCTACATCACCTGATTATTTTATCAGATCCTCATATATTTAGGACAGGACTTTTTTCCCCACAAGATCTAGAAATATATAGTCTCTCACCTACAAGGATGGTGCCCATGATAGCAACCAAGTAGAATTAACTGCATGGTAAGGAACAGAGATAAAAGACAAAAAGGCCCGGGAGCTCAGCCAGGCTCCACTATATGCATTTTTGAGGAAGAACCCTGAGCCCTGTCCCCTGGCTATGGATCTTTAATATCCAAGAGGTGTGTGACATACAGATATGCACATGTAACGTGCAAGATGTTCACGGTACATTGTACATATCATGGCCATGGGACATGGTAGCTCAGGTGCCTGTCCAGGCAAATGCAGACTATTGTGCTTCTCTGCATTCAGGAAAGGACAATGAGAGGCAGACACAGCACCACAGGTAGGAGGGGAGGTAGGATGATGTCCAGTTAGGAACAGAAAGAAGGCTGAGGGAATCATCTTGCATAAACTATCAGTAATGCAAAGTGCTTGGGAAATTCCGCTTAATCAAATGTTCTAATAAAATAGAAAACACTTTTGGATTAAATCCCAAACTGGAATATAACTGGGTTATTCTTTTATTGGGTGCTAGAGAAGTATCAGTGAACAAAACTGATTAAATACCTGGTCTAGGACACTTATATTCTAGTGGGGAAGACAGACAAGTAAAGAAGAATGTTTGAGGGTGGTCAGGAAAGACCACTTGGAGGAGGGGACACATGAGCTGAGACCCGAATGATGAGAAAGCCCAGATAGATGAAGACTAGCAGAGAGACAGTTTCAGGCAAAGGTAGCAACTCAATGCAAAGGCCCCGAGGCAGGGAAAAAAAAAAAAAAAAAAAAGGAAAAAGGTTGGTTTTGCCAACTTGGATTGAATACAGAGACGATGAAGTGTGAGGTGAGGCTGGATGGTGCTCAGGGTAACAAGTCTGGATTTGATTACATTATGTTGTTGTATTTAACATGGTTTTGTTTTCCTCTTGATATAGCTCAAGTTACCTCTCTTTGTGCCTTTGGACATCTCTTTTATTACTATTGTAAACTAGTTTCTATATCTTTTTTTGCTTTTAATATTTCACATGTTTATGTTTTACCTTCTTCACTATAAATAATTTCCTAATGGTCAAAGATGATGGGATTTCTTTGCATTTCCTAGCAAAACCCTTTGCCGGAACAGTCAACACATACTGCATTGCTTTGAAACATATTTTTTGGAAAATCTGCTTTTAGCCCAGTTTGTGAGTTCTATATAAAGAGATAAACTTGCAAGTTCCTCTTGTAGGTTTTTATTGTGTTGGAAAGTTCTGAGAACTGCATGTATTTGAACATTTTGATTTTTACTTGGAGGTTCTTTTCTCCATAGCTTGATATAAATCTGATGCTTTCTCCATGGATCTTGTAATAATATTATTGGTGATAGAAAACATATCATTGCTAGTTACGTAATGCTGTAATTACTGATACAGAAATAAAAGGATTCAAAGCATTTCTCTTTCCTCAATGAGTTAGCTTCTGTTAATGTTTCCAGAAGTGTAGAAGCTTGCCCCATGCCTCTCATTCCAAATAAAATGACTATCTTAAAATAATGTTCATAAATAAATACACCTAAATATGGGTATGTCTGAAATAGAACCAACCTCCTAATACAGTAGCATCCGTGGCTATCAGCATGCTTTATGCAGCCTGGGATAGTGGCAGCCAGCCAGCATATTATCCTCTAATCCTTTGCTAGTCTACCTCCTAAATGTTATAAATATTCATGTATGCCATAGAAAGATACAAAGGGCTTTATTCAAACATTTTTTTGAATACTCCTTTATGTTTCCCCCAAATGAAAGAATGTCTGCCTTTTTTTTTTTTTTTTTTTTTTTTTTTTTTTTGCATAAGGATCAGAGTGTGAATTCTCTTTTGTTCATACTCATAAATCCTGAAAACCAATATGCAACAAATTCTCTAATCCTCATTTCATACCTCAAGGGTAAAAAGGTTCAAAATAAAAATACTTAGGGCTGGCACAGTAGTTTGCTGTGACTGGGCAATGCTGCCACCAAGAAAAGGCATCTGTGTTCCTGGCTTCCCTGGTGACTTCTGCCCCTGGCAGGGGTTCCCTCTGGGGACACCGCCTACCAGCCCCACAAAGTCTGCCAGTTCTGCTCACCACCTTGGCCTGGCTGATGAATGACTGGGAAGTGGTGTGGACATCAACTTGAAAAGAGAGTTGTATCCTTCCCAAGACACACAGCGTCAGTGGGGGGCCACTAGTGGGAGTTGTATGTGGCAGGGGTGATGCTATGGGAACAGGGGTGGGCTTGTTTATGGGGATAGAAGGTGGGAAAGCTAACAACAAGTGCCAGGTTGGTCAAGGTCAGGTTTAAAAAACATAATCAAATCTTGTTTTGAAATTCCATTTCATTTACCAGTAACACTAAACTCACAGAAAGGTAATTGTAAAATTAAACTTTCTCGTGGTGTGATTTATTAAATGAAATACAATTTATAGTTGCTATAGTAGAGAACTAAACAGTTCTCTTTCAGTACTCCCTTCACTCTCTTCACCTTCTCCCTTTCCCCTTCCCTGCACCTGCAATGGGGTGGTGCTGGTCTGCCATTTTGGACCATGGTGATATGGCAAGGGAGGAGAAGCCGGGAACCTTGACTGCTTCATAAGCTATCACATTCGCTTAGACATTCACATGAAGAAAACAACAACAACAACAACAACTTAGCTTGCTTAAGCCATTGTCAATTTAGGTTTCTGTTATCACAGCTGAACTGCTCTCCCGGCCGTTCAGTTGCTTTTAAGTTAAAGTGGAATCTCTCTGAGAACGGGATGTGAGGAGCAGGGTATGAAGGGTCTCCTCTCACAGGTAGGCATTTAAGAACCCATGGCTGTGGGCATGAAGTAGAGAAGTGGAGAAGTGGAGAAGTGGAGAAGGGGGATTCTCTTAATATCCAATGAATACGACTCTTCCTTTGAAGGTTACGGAGGCAACACCAAGATCTAAAAGCCCAGATGAAACAACTTTCATTCTCCTTGACAGATAGTTTTGCTATCCTTGTTTGTTCTGTTCAGTTAACTTTAATGATCAAAAGTTCTAAAGCTCAGTCAACTCTTTAGGAAACTCTGACTTCTACGCCTCTGTGCACATGTATATTTTATAGTCAAATAGTTGGCTTAGCTACCCCTCAGTTTGCATTTCTGCATAAGTGATCTGGAAGGTTCTTTACCTATTTGCTAAATCTTTCATTTCTGGAAAACAAGTTTTGAGAAATCAGGGAAATATGTTTAATTCTCCATACTAATAAGTGAGCAAGACAAAAGAATGTTTTTTCCTTTGACCAAAGAATTACTAAACTGACACAGTATTAGAGATGTTTGTACTCTGCCTTTGGAGGGGAAGACCGCTGAGGAAATATTTGCCACCTAGTATGGAGTCCTTTTGAGGAGGTGTGAACTCATGTGCTATTTCCTAACAAGCCGAAGACATGGAAACCTGTTGCCCAGCAATTGCTCGACCTCTTCACCAGGCTGGGCTTGCTCATTCCCAAAGCTGGATGGTCCAATCCTTACAGGATCACTGCATGATGTTTCCAGTTGCCCTGGAGTCATACATACCGGCTGGATACCAAGGAATGATGAGAAGAACAGTTTTCTGAGAAGAATTCTATAGCACTCTATGGCATACAGGAATGCTTACATGCCCTGGACCCATTGACAATCTCCAGACATGGAGAGAGTAGGCATGATCGCTACTTCCTGTTGGGGAAACGGACGCACAGAGAACTTATGGGGCCGCTATGGGGGACGAAGCTGAGAATTGAACCTCATGTCTCCTGAACTCCCAAGTCCTGAGCTTTTCCTGCAGTGCCCCACATTCACCACTGCAAACCATAACCCCAGGCAGATGCTTACCGACACAGAGATAAGGCTGTAACACCCCATCCATCCAGGCTGCAGCCAAAGGATTTAGAAGACAATGGAGCATTCCATTAACATGCACTTTGTAGCTAAAGATAGGTTTTGGCATGACCTGCTTTATTGCTTCACGGAAGATAAGAAAATAAACTGCAAAGTAACCAATGCCAGATAACAGCTTTTCCTTGATGAAGGGAGCTGCAGAATACTGAATACGTGCCAGTTTCACTTCTGTTATTTCTTTAAAAAATTGTTTTTGGTTGTGAAGATTTTCAAGTTCCCTCTCTGAACTTGGGCGAACTTTATTTATTTATACATTTAGATGAATACTCCGCAAGAAAGATCTGCCATGGAGTTGCCTTTTACCTACGTGCACTAAAGTCAGGCTCAACAGATAAACAATTCAAAGGCATCCTAGGGAAGTCTAGCTCTACAAACCTGACAACAAAACAACAACATAGAAGTCACTCTGGAACATTCACGCATTTTAGCAACAGGCAGCCAAGGACGAAGCACACGGCATAAAAGCTAGCTGCTGCTGTGAACTGCAGCACAAATGCCATTCAGTTGCACAAAAGAGAACTGACAGGCTAAAATAGGTAGCCAATTTGAGCCGAATATTTCAAAACTCCTTTATGCGTAACTACCTTTTTAACATGGCAGCATATATGGAAATTATTTCCTTTATTAGTACAAATGCAAATTTTATTTTAAAGAAACATTGTGGTTAAGGTTACAATACTGTACGTACCATTTTTTCAAAGTTTACTAGATTGTCAATGAACGTCTTGTTCCCCTCATGAGTAAATGTCATATCTGCAAAGAAATAAAAGTCACATTCTAATCACTAACAGAAATATGTCATACTAAGAAACCACAATAGCACCATTAGATTATGCTGGAGGATTTGCATAACACTGCAGTTGAAGAAAGCTGATAATAGTTCCTTTTATGTTAGGTGTTTAACTTTTGAAAGCACTTTACCTGAGATTAGTAAAATTTCCAAACTAACTGTTTCCCTAGCAAGTCTTGCAAATCATGGATCCCTGCTGCTCCCGTAATCTTCCTAACACTTTCAGAAAAGTCAAGGGGGAGAGGAGGTGATGAAGAAGGTGCAAGGGACAGGACTGTTCTTCCCAAAGAGATCAGTCTGTTGAGGCTCTTATTCGTTTTCTTCCCCACACACTCATCACTGGCTTGACCTGTGGGTTCCCTCAGAATTACCTTTAATGAGCAAAGGCATGAAGGGGATGAGAGGAGGCTCCAGCTTAGCTACTGTCAGCCTGTAGGCCCTGTGGTTTCTAGAAGGATCCTTTAGAGAAACAAAGAGATGCTGGTTAATGACTAATGACACACATACCACCCCCTCTGCCTCCTAACACACCTAGGTTTGTTATCCCACAATCAGATAGTTTTCAACCAAGTGTAGCTATAAAAGAAAGGTAGACTTGGGAACGCAAGCTGGTGCAGCCACTCTGGAAAACAGTATGGAAGTTCCTCAAAAAAGTAAAAATAGAACTACCCT